TGGGGAAGGGTGGCGCAGGCAAGGCCGAGGAAGGGTAGGTGGGCAGGGACCTCCAGGCCTTCCCATGCAGAGCCTCCGAACACCTTCCCTACGAGATCTAATTACTGTTGGTGGAACTGGGAGGTGCCTGGCGACATGGGGAGCCAGTCCCTCCCCTCAGGGAGTTCTCAGGGACTCCGGTGGTTTGACATTTTGCCAAGGATCCGTGCCTTCTCGTGTCCACCACTCTCCCTCTCACCGCCGAGATGCATGATTCCTACCCCAAGGAAAGGAGGGGGATTCCTGCCTCGTTCTCTGCGTTTTTCTCCCATCTCCACATGGACAGTGTTGAGACCAGTGCTTTGATGATGGCTAATAAGGCAGGTGGGGATTACAAGGGACCCAGCAGCTGCTTCTCTGTCCCATAGGGGGCTCAGGGAAGTACGAGGAACAGCCATCTTGTCCAGGCGCTAGGCCCACGGCTCTGCCCCGCGTCTGTAAGGGACAGTGGTGCCAGGTTGAGGACGGAGGGAGACGTATAGATACGAAAGTTTGGGCTGGTTGGTAGGATATCATGTGGGGCCTTGATACTGAGCTCTTAACGCCCTGATGTATTGTCACATGGGAGACCGAATGCCCATGGCCTCAGGGTGGAGGTCAGTGGGACTCAAGGTACAGAGACCAGTGTTACTGTAGAGAAAGCATGTGCCTGTGTGTGTGTGTGCGTGTGTGTGTGTGTGTGTGAGAGAGACAGAGAGAGAGAGAGAGAGAGAGAGAGAGAGAAAGGAAAGGAGAGAGTTTGAGGTTGCGGAGGTCAACCAATACTGGTGTGCAAGTTCAGCGCACATACAACCGAGCCTTTCCATGTGTCTGCCGCCGGCGAGTGGGTGGAAGACATGTGTGTGCCCTAGAACTATACATGTACATGCATGAAGCCTGCATACATGCTTGTGTGAGGGCAGGTCCTATGGGACCAGCAGCCGCGGGAAAGCATGTGGGGAGATGGGATGGAGGGCGCTGGTCTATCCGAAGGGATTCCTCCCACTGTCACTATTCTCCCTGCCTCCATCCCCCCGCCCCGCTGGTGAATTATGGGGAGTGGAAGGAGGAAATCCGGGTCTGGGTCTGAGAATCGGAATCGCAGGGGCCTGCGCCGTTTCTGTGGTAACCAAGCCGGCGTTCCCTACTTCCCTCCACCTTTCTCTCCGCCTCCTTTCCTCGGAGGCCGGCGGGGCTTCCCTGCGCCTGTTCTGCCCTCTGGTGGCCACAGGAGGACAGAACCAGAAACGGGCCGGAAGTCCAGCGCGGGCCCTGGCGGCACCGGGTCCTGGGGAAGGCAGGGACCGGGGGAGGGGGCTCCGAGGAGCCGGGGAGCTCGAGGGCCCTGGGGAAGGGTGCGGTAGAGAGCGGGTGGCCTGGCGCTGCTTCTCTCTGACCCGCTGCCGGTCCCCGGTCCCCGCAGCCTGCGGCGAGAGGGCTACACGGTGCAGGTCAACGTGAACGACTACCTGGACATCTACTGCCCGCACTACAACAGCTCGGGGCCGGGCGGCGGGGCGGAGCAGTACGTGCTGTACATGGTGAGCCGCGCCGGCTACCGCTCCTGCAACGCCAGCCAGGGCTTCAAGCGCTGGGAGTGCAACCGGCCGCACGCGTCCCACAGCCCCATCAAGTTCTCGGAGAAGTTCCAGCGCTACAGCGCCTTCTCTCTGGGCTACGAGTTCCACGCCGGCCACGAGTACTACTACATCTGTGAGTGCGGGGCGGGCGGGCATCGGGGTCGCTGGGCGTGATCCCCGATCTGGGGCTCGGGGACGGGGGCCTCGGGATCTCGGTTCCCAGACAGTGCAGTGAGGCGGGGAGGTGTTTGGTGCGTCCTCAGTGTGGGTCGTAGCCACTTTCTGTGCCCAACATTCCAGGGGTGGGGCCTCAGGGGTCTGGGTTACTTGAGGTCCCAGAACCGAGGGGCTGCTGGCGCTGACAGCTGAGCCTCGTGACCAGTGTCCATGGTGCCCGGGAGCCACTGGAGGGGACTCCCCGGGAGGGCAGGGAGGGGCGAGAGGGCGAGTTTCTGAGTGAGGGCCCAGGTGCAAACCGGGAAAGGCCGCTCAGGCTTCCGTGTCCTCCCCAGCCACGCCCACCCACAACCTGCACTGGAAGTGTCTGAGGATGAAGGTGTTCGTCTGCTGCGCCTCCAGTGAGTATAAGCGGCTCCCAGCCGCCAACCCCCATCCTCAGCTCCCCTGCTTTTGGGGCCTCCCCCTGGCTTTCCTGGGGATGAGGGCGGAGGGGCACAGGCGAGGGGGGACTCGGCTCCCCCAGGCTGTAGCAGGGGGGAGGGGATCCCCTGGCCCTGACTCTCCCCTCCTCTTTCCCCACCCACACCCTACCCCGCAGGCATCGGAATTCCGGGGAGAAGCCGGTCCCCACTCTCCCCCAGTTTCACCATGGGCCCCAATGTGAAGATCAACGTGCTGGGTGAGTTCGCAGCGCCCTCTGGTGGCCACTGCTGGAACCGCAGTCCCCTCCCCGGTGCCTGCTCACCTCGCATGACTTCCCCCTGGGGACACCCATCCCTCCTACCACCGTGGGTGGTCACGTCCCCTGCTCCCCTCCTGCTGCTGCTGCCGCCGCCGCTGCCGCGTGCCCCCGCCTCGGCGCGCAGCCCAGCCCTTATCTGTCTGTCTCTTCATCTCTCCACAGAAGACTTTGAGGGAGAGAACCCCCAGGTGCCCAAGCTTGAGAAGAGCATCAGCGGGACCAGCCCCAAGCGGGAACACCTGCCCCTCGCGGTGGGCATCGCCTTCTTCCTCATGACACTCTTGGCCTCCTAGCTCTGCTCCCTCCCTTGATGGGGGGCGATGGGGCGGGGGCGGCCCAGATAGGGAGACGTTGGCCTCTCCAAGGGAAGCCTAGCCCAGAGGCCTAGACCCTCCTCCAGTGGCTGAAAGTGGGGTCTGCACCATACATCTGTGCCCATCCCTTCTGCCCCCTCCCTCCACGTGTCACTGTAGTGGACCAGGCACAGGGAGGCCATGGGTCCCAGTGGCCTTATGGCTTGGGTAATGTTTGGTACCAAACTGGGGGGCCATAAAAGGTAGTGCTCAGGACTCCCTGACCCCTGGTGCCCTCCTCTTTTGTCCCCCCAGAGAGACACATATGCCCCAAAGAGAGCAAATTGAAGCGTGGGAGACACCCCACCCCTCTCTTCCAGGGGCAGAACACAGGGAGGGGACTCGATGGGCGAGGGGGTGGCATCACCCGCTGCCCCCTTACCCTGTTTACAGCAATAAGCACGTCCTCCTCCCCCCCCCCCCACTCCCACTCCCAGGATTGTGGTTTGGATGGAATCCAAGTTTACAAGTAGACACCCCTGGGGGGGTGGGCAGTGGAAAAGGGTGACAAGGGGTGGGCACTGGGGTGCCAGGCAGGCATGTACAGCTCTATATCTCTATATATATGTACAGACAGACAGAGTCCCTCCCCTCCTCACCCCCCTGACCTTCCTTGACTTCCCCTTCCAACTTCAGACCCCTTCCCCACCAGGCTAGGCCCCCCACTGGGGGGACCCCCTGGCCCCTCTTGTGTCTTCTGTGAAGACAAGACCTATGCAACGCACAGACACTTTTGGAGACCGTGAGACAACAACGCCCTCCCCCTCCAGCCCTGAGCCAGGACCCAGCTCCCAGGACCTTACTCTGTCCATCCTCTGTGGTCCCCACCCACCCTCCTGGGCCTTTTTCAAGTGCTTTGGCTGTGACTTTCATACTCTTGCTCTTAGTCTAAAAAAATAAACTGGAGATAAAAATAAGTGTGTGTGGCTTCCAGGGCTCATGAGCCTTCTGTACACTAGACACAGGGCCTTTGTGAGGGAGGGTATTGTAGGGCCAACGGGACCACTGCTCACCGTGTTCTGTAACTTACCTTGAGGAGGCAGCTCCGTGTGGAAGGAGCAACAGGGGCTGCCCAGCTGGGCCTGGGTGACTTTGGGCAACATCTGTGAGCCTCGAGTGTCTCATGAGGAAATCCTGGGTGCAGCCCTGGCCGGGTAGCTCCACTGTTAGATACACCACGCTTCCGGGTTCAGTCCCCCATCAGGGCACGTACAAGAATCAACCAAGGAATTCATAAATAAGTGAAACAACAAATCTATGTTTCTTTCTCAAGAAAAAAAAATCAATTAAAAAGAAAAGAAAACCTGGGTTATAATACATCTCTCTCCGGGTCAGTGTAAGGATTAAATGCAGGAGTATAAGGCTCAATCGATGACGAATTTCTCCTTTCCACTTCAGGGTGTGAACCTAGATAGGAAGGAAATTATATCTTTATTTTTACTCACCTGTAGCTAAAATTTAACCTTCTCTTATGTACTCGGGCAACAAGCCACAATAGTTAACAGTGCCTGTGACTTCATAACCAACAGAAATCATAGATGTTTTCCGACGGCATTATAGTTTTTGGAGATATCTCAAAATAGCATTTACTCTCCACACTACTTTGAAATGACAAGGTAGTTAGTTTTTACCGTGTTAATAAAAACCTATATATTACTATGCCAAAACAAGTAAATGCTTTGATAACTGTTTCATTGATAACTGTTTCAATATAATTGGTTTCCTTTGTAAATTTATTTTATTTGTTTAAGATGTTGTGGTCAAAGGGCTGAGGGTTCGCTGGTGCTGGGGCCGCACGCACCGGTCAGCCTGTGAGTGAGAGGACAGGAGGGGAGGGGGAAGAAGCCCACGGCTGCTTCGGAGGCGCTGCTGCCCTGGCCAGGCTGCGTGAGGCCCGGAGTGCAGGTGGGCACTGCGTCGGGCGTGCTGATAGGGACCAACGTCTATCGAGCCTGTGCTGGCCCAGGGAGAGGGGGTGCCTTTTCCTCAGTGCCAAGCTGTGCGCCCTGGGGACTCCATCCCAACCAGGCTCTCTAATTGTCACTGTGGGTCCTGGGTGAGTGCCCTCCTGGGTGCCCCGGGGGCTCTGCCAGCAGCATTGTGGGAGCCCCTGGGCACAGGTCCTGTCTCTCCTCCTCGGTACTCATGGGAAATTACATTTCAGCCGGACCCTGGAGGGTGAGTAGGTCTCCCACGGGCAGAGCAGGGAGGGGTGAGGATGGAGGACAGATGGGGAAAGAACCGGGGCCAGCCAGTGCACCAGATGAGACACGACAGCAAAGGGAGGCCCATTCGTCCAATCGATGGTGGGCATGGGTGGGGCACCCGCTGAGTGCAGGCTCTATGCTGGGTGGGGGGACCCAGAGAAGAGGGTCTCCACGCTCGAATGCGCTTATCATTGAGCGTGTGCTGATGGGAGGAGTAACACACGTGTGACCATGTGACCAGGGACAACGTGGTGAAACGCCAGAGGCTTCGGGACACTCTCACCTGGGGACACAGGACGGAGGTTGCCGGGAGGAGGCGGCACACGCAGCCGGGCCCCCACAGGGTAGAGTCTTGAGGGCCTGAAGGCTGAGGAGGGGGGTTGTCCCATGAAGGAGCCACAGCAGTGGGCCTAGGCCAGTGGTCGGCAAACTCATTGGTCAACAGAGCCAAATATCAACAGTACAACGATTGAAATGTCTTTTGAGAGCCAAGTTTTTTAAACTTAAACTATATAGGTAGGTACATTGTTATTCACTTAATTAGGGTACTCCTAAGCTGGCCTTTGCTAAAAACGTCCTCAATCTGATGGAGGTACGTTCGCTGAGGTCGACCCCTTCCAACTCTCCCATCCACACTTGTCTTGTATACTTGTTTCAGATAGACCAGTGTGGATGGGAGAGTTGGAAGGGGTCGACCTCAGCGAACGTACCTCCAAACAATGTACCTCCCCCGCGCTGCGTATCCCGTCACCTGTTGCCCCACCGACTGACACCCCCACTCCTTCTAACGCCACTTCTTCAAAATAGACTCGCCCAGGCCGAAAACCGACTTCTTCGCACGGGCCACGAAGTTTCAATCGCACTGTACTCGTGCGCCCGCACGTGGTATTTTGTGGAAGAGCCACATTCAAGGGGCCAAAGAGCCGCATGTGGCTCTCGAGCCGCGGTTTGCCGACCACTGGCCTAGGCTGCAGGCTCCCTCGATCCCAGGGCCTCGTGGGACAGAGTGTGGCTGGCTGAGAGGGGAGGGCCTAGTGGATTCAAACTCCAGGAACGGGAAGACTGGGCAAAGGCAGGCACCTGCAGTCGGGAACTAGGACGAGCCGCTCCCATTTACTGAGCACCTACTATGTGCCAGGCACTGTGCCCAGTGCTCCCTGTGCCTGTGAGCAGTGTGCCCTTGGGAGCCTGACCACCCCAAAACGGAGTGTAAGGGGCTGTGTCCCTTGCTAGGGTCACACGTCCTGGTAAGCTGGCATTCAGAGTGGGTATGCCTGTCACCGGGCTTGGACCACTAGAACCTGCACCAACACCTGCAACCCTTTCCCACAATCCCCACTGCCTCCTTCATCCTCCAGCAAAGCTACTCGGAGTTTCGGGGGAAAGACATCACAGGACCTCAGACAGGGGTCAGGTGAGCTGATCTGAACCCCACATTCTAGATGGGAAAACCGAGGCTCATTCGGAGCAAGTGATTTGCCTGTGTCACTCAGACGTTCGTGGCAGAGCCAGGAGGGGGACGCGGGGTCGTGACCCCCACCTTTTTTTAAATTTTTTTTTTCATCCTGTGATGCACCTTCCCAGGAACCAGGGGCTGATGTTTGAAACCTCACCATTAAGGAGGAGGCACCACCTACCTGAGATCCCTGTTCATTTGCCGTGAGGCTGGGGCTTCAGGAAGCTCGGGTCCTGCTGGGATCTCCCCTCAGACAAGACTTCAGGCCTCAGAGCACGAAGGCAAGTGAGGGGAGGGGAGCATTTCGATAGACAGACTGGGGTGAGGGGTCAGCCCGTAGGTAGACAGAGACCAGCGACCTTGAGCCCTGGAACCAAGGTCTGCACAGCCCAGGTGTCCTGGCCAAGGCAGACGTGAGATGACACCAGTGGCAGGGCCTGGGGGTGAGGGGAGGGTAAGGCAGGGCCCACAGTGCAGACTCAGTGCCTACAGGGTGGGATAGACCAGAACAAAACAGAATAGCACTGGCTGTGAGTGGGATATCGCAGGGAGGGAGGCAGATGGCAACAGGACAGGACAGGGAAGGGAAAGGCCAGGCTCGGCCACCTCCTTCCTGCTCCCACACACCTGAGCCAGGTGCCCTGAGAGTCCGCTGATGCCGGGTGGTACCCCAGCGCCTGGGCACTGTGTGGTTGTGCTGTCCCCACCCGGAAGCCCAGGGCCCGCAGGCAAGGGAAGGTCAGTGAGCTGTGCCCCAGGGGGGCCTCCTGCCCACCCTGAGCAGGCCTGTCCTCCTCCTTGTGTGTCTCCTCTGGCCGCCTCCACAAAGGCCTCAGAGCAACACAGGCTGGCACTCCCAGAGGCTTCACAGGGACCCTGCCCCCCTGCTGCCCTCCCCAGGGTAAAAAACAACAGCAACGCCCTGGCTGGTTTGGCTCAGCGGACGGAGGGTCAGCCTGCGGACTGAGGGGTCCTAGGTCCGATCCCGGTCGGGGGCATACACCCAGGTTGCGGGCTGGATCCCTAATGGGGGCATGTAGGAGGCAGCCAATCAATGATTCTCCTCATTGATGCTTCTATCTCTCTCTTCCTTCCTCTCCCTTCCTCTCTAAAATCAATAAAAATATATTTTTTAAAAAAAACAGCAACAACAAACACCGAGCACAGATGTTGGCTTGAGGAGTCAGGCTCAGAACCAGGCCCTCCTCTTCCAGGGGAGTCCACCCTCGCCTTGCCGTGGGTCGGGGAAAAGAGCAGGGACATCTGCATTTCAGTTTGGGTTCAAGCCTTGTCCCCTGGGCTGGGGGCGCGGGCAAAAGGGGTTCCATGGAAGTAACTTCACGGGGCCATGTGATCTAAACTTCTAACTGGGCAGTTCGAGGTAGGTAGTCATGCCCCAGGCATATAAGTTCTTTTTTAAAAAATTATTTGTTTCCATCACATATAACTTCCTTAGTAAATGGTTTATCTCTGCCTTAAGCAAGCCCTGTCCATTGCTCTCGAGTATCTAGGTTAACACACCTTTGAAATAAGCCATAACCACCCTCCAGAGAGTGGATAATCTTGTTAAGCGTCCTGTAATCCGATCCCCACCTGGCCTTCCCCACCTCCGTGTAATCTTTCTCATGTTTCCTCCTCACCCTCAAACGCATAAAGGAAGTTTCAAAACTATTATTCTCGGGAGCATTCAAGAGCTTGCTCCCTGGTATATGTCTTCCGTTTGACGCAAGCAAACTCTTATAAAAATTCTCTCAAGGAGCTTAGTGAGAACATCAGCAACATAAACAAGGACCCGTCAGGAATGAAGGGTACACTATCTCAAATGATATTTTACAGGGAAACAACAGTAGAGTAGAGGACAGCGAGAATCTTATCAGCGATTTGGAAGATTGGTCGAGATGGCGGTGTAGGTAAATGCAGTACTCGCCCCCTCCCACAGCCACACCACAATTACCATGGAAATACAGAACCACCATCGTCCAGAACCACCTGGAATCTGGCTGAATGGAAGTCCTACCACCAGGGAATTAAAGAAGAAGCCACATGGAGCCTGGGCTGGCTCCTGCACAGCAGCTCTCCCACTGTAGTCGCAGCTGATTGGCCTGGAGGTCCATCCCTCCCAGTGACACCAACAGCAATCAAGGCTCAACGACAGCAGGCCAGTACACACAGCCCACACAGAGGCGCACCTGGAGTGCCCAGCTCAGTGACTGGGGGGGCTGAGCCACTGGGCCCTACAGGACAGCTACTACCT